ACATATATCAGAAACAATGCTCCGAATGCACTTCCTTCCCAAACAATGCTATAAGAATTAGTGTTACAAAAACAACTACAATTACAACTAAAAGTTAAATTTGAATCAATACTATTATTTTCATAATATACTTACAATCCTAGAATTCCGAGAAGCCAAATACCAAAATATGGTTTCATGCCTCAGTAGTACAATTTAATGGGTTGGCCTCAGTAGTACGGTTCAATGGGCTGGCCTCAGCAATGCAATTCAATAAGCTGGGCTCAGCAGTGATAGGACTAAGTCCCCTTCCTTCAGTCCCTTTTGGGTGCTCTGCAGCTTCAGCGTGAACTAAGAGATTCGTGTTCACGGAGAGGGTGGTTCAGGTGATCAATCTGATCCGGCCTACACTTGCGATTCTTCCTTCGTTGTTCTGCAAGTGAAGTCACCTCCAAATTGGGACAGTAAGTTACAGTTTTTATTGAGCGAGCTGCCGTCTATGGGCTCCTCCTACTCAACCTGTCATTACCCCCAAATTTGGGCTCGGATCTTACTCCACAGATTCTTTTGAAATTACCTTTGGGAAACTTCCAAATCACTGCAAATGCCCTTTTCTTACCAATCTTGTTAGAAGGCCTTAGGGTTTGATCTCTCAGAACTCAGGATATTTGCTCTCTTTGTAAAAGACTTCTAAAGATAAAATTTAAATTAAGACTTTAAGCAAAGTCAGGACCTCTTGCACGTAGTCCAAAAACAATGACTTAGATAAGGATAAATCTTATCTTCTTCCTGAAACTGGCTAATGGGCAACCTTTACAAACATTCAAACTATTTCATTCAATATGACACTTAGATGGCTCTGCTTAAAGCTCCCCTCCACCTTCACCCCAGAGCACGTGTATAGATGCTCAGTGTAATCTAGACTTTATCACAAGGTGTTCATTCAGGTAGAGAATGAACCAGGTCAGTATTCAAAACTTACCTACAATGACATCATCTTGTCAGACTGGAGATGTTTCTTTTGTTAAAAATCTGCATGGTTAAATTGTTCAAATGTGTATCATGTTAACCTTAAAGTTCCCACCATTATTTATTTTAAATCTGCAGGGATGTTTTATTTGAGAGCAAAGTTTTCCTAATGCTTCTCCTGAGAGTTAAACTTCAGGAGTTGCATTCCCTGGAAACAAAAATATCCATTGGCTTTATGGCTTAGAAGCTAAAATCCCATCTTTTGCATTAAACTTCTCATGCAGGATGCTGCCAAGGGCCTGAGAGCCCAACCCACGCTAGCCTTTCACAGAGCAGACCACAGATGAAAGCATTTAATTATTTTGACCTGTTCTCCCATCACATTAGCACCTTTGTGAGTTTCTGCTGAAGGGGGAACAGTTAACTAGTAGGGTAGGCAGCCCTGCAAGTCAAGAATGACGTGCTGGTGCTTTTGGTGAAGAGGCGGTTAGGAAAAGAATTTGCAACACATGCCTATGCAATGCCTCATTCTAGCCAGTGCCGACATTCCCTCGATGCTTCAGGAGAAAAACAGAGCCTGATATTTTTTTCATTTCTAACAAGGAGAAAAAAAAAAGGAAACTGAGGCCACATCTGTGTCACGCATTAACCTGAGCACAGTAAAGCTCCAAAAGGTCAGGACTAAGTACTGGGACATGTGATAAACTTTTGTGCACTTCTTGAAAGCATCTGCACTTCGGGTGATCAGCTGTGGGTGTCAGAAACTGGCAGAGGCATGAATTAATTAGACAAAGGCTAGAGCAAGATACCGGCTTACTGTAGGCATTGGAGCTAAGTACAGGCAGTCAAAAAGCTCAAGGCAGAATCGATTCAATCTAGGCAGCTTCCTCTAAGCTGCACAGGTTGCACCAATAAGCAACTAAACCGACATTCAGTTTTCAATTGGGAAAGCAGTGACGCAGGCTAGTAGATAGGGGGCACTAGACAGGTCTCCCAGCCGATGTCCCTGACTGGCTCCCCCGGACAAGTGCCCAACCCCCTGCTGTACCCCCACAAGGGGGTTGAGGAAGCCCTGCCGGGTGCTGGCCCACCCTGTTGTGGGGGGGCGTATGGCGGGGTGGGGGATGTATGTGTGCATGGTAGGGTGTAGGCGTGGGTGTGTGTATGGTGGGGTGTGGTGCAGAGGGTTGCCAGCGGGTGTACCTGTGTATGTGGCAGTAGAGTACGTCGGGACAATAGGGTACGTTGGGGTGGGTACTTGTGGAGACCCCTCCCCCCGTCCCCTCACGGCACACAGCCCCGCAGGCATGGGCACTCCGGGTGCCCGTGCCCGTGCCCGTGCCCGTGCCCAGCCGTGGCACCGGCGCCTGGCGACACGCCGCTCCAGCCAGCGCTGCACATCGTGGCGAGGAGCACAGCCTAACCGTGCTGCCTCTCGCCAGGGCTCCTTGCCACGCATGCGCAGCTTCCACACCTGCCTGCCACCAGAGGGAAGCTCCATGCACTGGAGCCAGCTGCCTTCATTGCTCCCTGCTGTGCAGGTCCCGGGACTCTGCAGGGAAACGGGCTGGGACTCCCCTACGCTTGGAGTAGTCCCAGGACCTGCATGGCAGGAGCAGCAAAGGCAGCCGCCTCCAGCATGTGGAGCTTCCCCCTGGTGGCGTGCGCGTGCGGAAGCTGCACCTGCGCAGCAGGGAGCCCTGGTACTAGAGGCAGCCTGAGCTGCAATCCACACCACAATATGCAGCGCTGGCCGGAGCCAAACACTGCCAGGTGCTAGTTCCTGCGCCGGGCACGAGCGCCCCTGCCTGCTGCTGCTGCCACCGCCTGCGAGAGCTGCACGCCATTGGGGAGGGTCCCCACATCCCTTCCACCCTCCCTCACACCCACACCCTGCCCACCTGAGCTCTGCACCGCTGCTGCCACCCCAAGTCCGGGTTGCATGCTGCTGCCAGCCCCAGCCCCATGCTCTGCGCTCCCAGCTACTGCAGCTCCCCACCCCCACAAATTCCCGACTTCCTGTCTGGAGCAAGCGGGATGCTGGGGAGCTGAGCAGCCCCGCAGTGGGTGCAGCAGTGGCAGCAGCCGCCTGCCCAGAAGCTGTGCACTGGGCAGGCCAGGCCCTTCCACCCACAAGGTTGGGAGCAGGGGGCAATAGGGTATGTGGGGGGGTGCTGTATATATGTGTGCCTCACCCCCAACCTCGTGGGCGGAAAGGCTGGATAGGGTATAATTAGCTGGTGGGCACCGTGGGCCGAATGAAAGCATCTGGCAGGCCATATTTTGTCTGCCCTTGGTATAGACCCTGACTGGGGGGAGGGGGGTCTGTTCCCTTGCCTCCCCAGTACCTATAGGCTGATAGGCACAGGCTAAGGAGCAAAGGGTGAAGCAGTCCCTGCTCCACTGAAACAGACAGTATAGGCCAGAGCTGTAAAGCATCCTAGGATGCTCGGGAACTGAGAGTTAACTAGAACCAGGAAGGGATCTGGGACAGAAGTTCCATAAAACAGTTGGACCCAATCAATTCAGTCTGATACTACACCCAACCAGATCTATCTTAAACTGATTTGGGCCCTTTTTAAAAGCAGTTTATGTGCACTGAACTTCTGTTGTTACAGGTTTAAACCAGTTTCTGATCACTTAAGCCAGTTTGTGTAACTTCGGTCCCTAGCCTGGCTGTTAGCAAGCTAATCCCCATTCTGGACTCCATTTATTGCCCATCACATTAACTTCACTTCTAAAGGCCCGTCTCAGACCCCATTTCCCTGGCTACTGAAATCAGCATTTCTATTCTGTATTTTCCCTCATTCCCAGTTCTATGCTTTTCATTCTGAACCTGTACATATCTAACAAGCCTTTGGTTTATCACACTTGCTCCCTCTTCGTGCCAAAATTAAGCTGGGACTGCAACCCTGGCATTATTTGCGTGAAATATAAGCCACAAGCATGCTTATGTACAAGGAAGCCACATCCTGTGTACATGGTGCAGTGTAATATCCATGGAACAGCCATTCTAGTAGGCAGCCTGTTTCCTTAATTGCTGTCTGTTGTGTTAAAAAGAGCTTGACCCTGTGCTGATGGCTTTGACAGCCATAGCTAATAGCTTTTTTTGTTTTAAGTTTTAAATTTAAAGGGGTCCTTCCCTTCCACATTTCAGGCAACAATGATGTTCCTAGTTCACGGTTCCTTCCTCAGCCTCTAGAAACTTAAGCTCTCATGCTGTTATTTGATTGAATCCCACAACAAAGTTTTGTGGCCTGTTACAGTCCAATGCACTCTGACACAAACATGGTGCACTGATAACTCTCCTATTGGCTGAGCACTCCCAGACTGGTGGGTCTAGAGCCCATTTCACTTGGGCTTTAAACCTCCTGACTTTGAGGTGAGTCTAGAAATCATCTCTGGTTGGACTCTGGGATAAACTTGGCTGCTGATCTAACATGAGCCTCTTTAACACTTGAGAGCTTGCGGTCCAACTACTTACCTCTGGAACTACAACTAATGCATCAGAGCCTAGCTGGGCATGCTTTAGGTCAGCAGTTTTAACTCTTCAAGGGGCATGAAACTGGAATTGTGCAGGTTCAGGCAGGACTCCATATTTCCTCTCCTACTTCTTTCTATCTCCTCATCCTCTCTCTCAAGTAAGCCAGTCCAGAGTTAGGTTAGCTCAACATTAAACAGGACACCTCTGCTACAAAAGTACACTTCCTTCTTGTCTCTTGCCCAAAGTCTTTGTACGTGAAGTCTCACCCAGCCAGTCCCTTGCTCTAAAAAAAATTTCCACCATGTTGTCAGGTCTATCCCCTCCTCCAACTTAGGCTGTTATTTTGTCTCAAGGCAAGAATTTGGATACATTTGAGCATCACCCCTCATCTACCAGGATACAAGCCATTCATGAATTTTAGTGGCAAATTTATATTTCAGCTCATTCAATGAGCTAAGATCCATGTGATGCATAGATGACTGTTTAATATGACATGGAGGATGTTTTCAGCTTGATAAAAAACTATCCAATTTTTTTTTTTTAAAGAGAAAGAAAAAGAAAACTCATACAGGTTCCTCACTTTGTTTTATTTGGCAAAGTAGCATTTCAGATAGTTCACACAGCATTTATTCACACTCTTCAAACCCTCTGCATTTCAACTCTTCTCCTCTTCCTCCCAACAAATCTTTAACTCCAAAAGCATTGCTGCGTTGCAGAGGGGTCTTACTTTTAGATTCTCAGTGCTACCCCAAGTTCAGATGAAAGATCCTACTATATGAGCAGCAGGATCAGCATTGAGCCCTCCTGTGGAACAGGCATAACAACCCCAATGCCTTGGTCCCAGAAGTCTTACAGCTCCTGAAATGCATTTCTTCTACAAAGAAAATATCCACCATGTTGTCAGGTCTATCACCTCTTCCAACTTAGGCTAATTTGTCACACTTTAGTGTCTAGAGACAAGAATTTGGATGCATTTGAGTTCTTATTCTTCATGTAACCGATTAGTGAAAAGATGGAAATAAAGCTGAACTCAAGAAGAATGATACAGTGATCAAAAGGCTTAACATTAGCATGCATCATTTAAGATATTTCACTTTAACACTAAGAACTAGATTCACAGTTGTTTGTGAGTTCATATAAATCTGACATGTCGGATGCAAGTAGATTTTCTAGGATAAACACGAAAATTGAGCAACTCCTTAATATGAAATATTAATCTCTTTTATAAGATTAACCTTTGTATATGTGCTCCCAGGCTTCAATTAGATTATAAGGAGGCATATTAACCTCACAAATGTCTAAATAAATGAGGTTATACATTTTAAGTAAATACACTGGACATTGGAGAAGGATGGAATTGACCTTCACATAAAGGTCATTCAGACATTCTCCTTTCACAGAGACCTTTAATTATTCCCTTCATGCTTTCACTGCTTAATTCTATCACAAAATATTGCTGTTCTATCAAAAGCAGGATGAAGGAACAAGGATCACTCTGAACCACTTTTGCAGAAATTTTTTTTCTGGCTATTAGCTCTACTCACAATTAAAAGAGCAAGGAGCGCAGTAGTACACAGGAATTTTACCATTCAGGCTCTAGTGACCAGAAATTGAAAGAGCACCACACTTCCCTTTAGCAGTCCAAGAGCTATACAGTTCTTACACTATTTTGGGGTTTCCAAACATTAACAATATCAGAAAGAAACAGACCACAAAGTTTGGGGTGGAAGAAGGCTTACAACTTCCCAACTCTTTTAAATGGATGTTTGTTATGTTTACAGCTATATGTGTATTTGGTTGATGCTTCTCCCCAACATCAGTTCTTCAGAATCTATGAATTACTGCTCAAAGGTTCAGTTCACTTTCTAAAATGAACCCAGAATTTTTCCATGATTGCCTGTCAGTGGAAAAAATAAGAAAATTAATACAGCAGAGATTTTTGTGTCAAATTAACCAATATGGATGTTAATTTTACTGGAGTAGAGAGATCTGCACCTCACACAATTATATTTAACATACACACCGATCCTGTTCTTCCACACAAAAAGCACACAAAAACCCTTTTTTTGCTTTGAACTTTATTTGGCAAAGCAGCACTGCATAAACTGTTCAGTGATTAGGACATAGCTTACGCAGCATTTGTTATATTAAATTCAAATACATCCCACCAGCAGTGAGCTACAAAGCAATACTGGGCTTCAAGTTTCCGTTAATTATTCTAGGAGGAAGGCAAAAGCTATGTTAGTTATGTCCCACCTGAACAGCAGTTTTTATAAGAGCTGTAATCTCTGATGTCTTGAAGTTTAATATATACAAATGCCTGGTTTTAAAGGTAATAAAGCAGCTGATTGTATCTACTACATGCTAGTCTATGACACCACACCAAAAGCTTTAAAAAGGAAGTTCATTTTTAGTAGCATCTAGCAGACATCTGAACACAGAAAACTTGATATTGTTTATGTAGTGTCATAAGGTGCACAGAAGCTGTTTTACCAAGGAACACAGAGATGAAGTAAGTGTTCAAGCGCCCCCCATCAAACACAGGAGTTTGCAAATTGTGGGTCTCTGGCTGCATTTTTGCAGAAATCCATTTCTTTGAACATATGAAAGCAAAATAAAGGCATGTTAAGAAAAAACCAAACCTTGCCTGCATTTATTTAAACTTTCTACCATTTCTTTCCCAGATTTGCCTTGAGCCTCTAAAAGAATAAAATAAAACAAAACACCACGCTTTTCCATGCTGATAACAGTATAACAAAGTCCAAAACAAGCTGCAATGCTGTTGGTTTTCAAAAAGCTTTTAGAACTGGAGATGAGCAGTCCACTGTAACACTATGTTTGGGTCAAGATGATGTAGCTTTTACAATTCATCCCTGCAGAAAGAAAACAAATGTGGTTATGTTTCATTTCCCTGTGGAGTTCACACTTGAAAAGTTTTGCTATCGAGTCAGAAGGCATAGCAGTGCTCAAAAATACAGCAAGCAGCAGAACTGCAGAAAGCTTGTCAAACATTTAAGCCAAAGTAAAGAAAAATCCCAGAGCACAGCATATTACAAAGTAGTATGTGCAATATGGATCCCTGTTCCTTCAGTCTAAAGTGTATCGTTTGCTTCAAATCAAAACACCCATAGCTAACAACTCTCTTAGCTCCCTGGACCATTTACAGGACTGAACTGTGTTTGAAACTGTGGTCTAATTCTTGGTAATGGCACAAAAGGAGGCAAAATGTGAAACCTAACTTCAAAATTAAAATTTAGTTGTAGCATGTGTTGAATGCTGGACATCACCTCACCCTAAAGTGGAGGAAGTTCTATAGCATCTATATATTTTGCTTTCACAGGGCAATTTTGCCAGTTCCTGAAGGAAGTATTCATTAAGTCAGGGCTGTCCAAATTCTGAGCATGAGGGCCACACTCCACATGGGCTGTAGTCCTGGAGGCTGCATGAGGCAGGGACCAGAGAGAGGGCTGATCACTGTACAGGCGGCCTTCTCACCAGCTCTATACTGCCACACAGGCAGTATAGCATGCCCCCCTCATCCTCACACACAGCCTGACCCCTCTCTCCTTCCAACTGTGCATGCCAAGGAGACAGCCCACCTCTCCTTACCCTGCAGGACAGGCAGCTCAACTCCCCACTGCAAATGGAGCCCTCTCCTCCCCTCCCAGCTACATGCACATCTGCAGTGTGAACAGCCTGACTCCTGCCCCTCTCTCTCTCTCACAGAACACGCAACCCAGTCCCCCTCCTATGAGTGGAGGCATGATGTAAAAGCTGGAGGAAGGAAGGGGGAGACTGAATAACCCAGCTGCTGTGGCAGGTGCAACAGTGAAAGAGAGGGAGCAGCAGTTGTGCTGGGAGCCTGCAGGCCATTATACTAACCCTTTAGGAGTCACATGTGGCACATGGGCCACCATTTGGAGAGCCCTGCTTTAATTCGATGCTACATAATACCTTAAGCAACCGGGAAAATTAAAGATACAGAGGAATAAAAGGTTCAGAAATGAGTACAAGGGTACAAAAAGCTCCTCCCAAATGTTTTGATCACTACAATGACTCCAGAATATCAAGAAACCTGCTCCTACTGTATATTTAAACACAGTGAAATATAGAACCCAGTAGAACCTGAATGGAACTGATACATTAGTGATGTTTGTGCAGTGACTGTGTATTTGAAAAATAAACTTTAAATAAAATGTTTTTCCTGCTAGTCAAAAAGTTTAAAATTATGCATGATTTTACTACTACAAGGAGAACAGGTAATGCTACACAGCATTAAGTTTGCCTTTGCCTTGAGAAAATGAATGTTCTGTAAACTGATAAAATGTGCTGTAGTCTAGATTAGGGGGCACTGTGTATTTTACTTCATTAACTTCATAAAGGCACACATTATTTTAATTTCACTAATGCAATATGAAATAGTGTTTCCAACCTACTAACATTAAAAAAAAAAAAATCACAAAACCATTATCGCTACATGCACACAAGCAATAAAGTTCTCCTAATGAGGATGCATTTGTAGAATCATATTGCATGAAATGACAGCATGTGCAGCTTCTTAATGCAAGTGAGGGCTTTCAACAGTCAGCATTATAGTTTAAAGTTCTAGTTGTCCTGAAATTGTAGCTACTAATTCCCAAAGAAACCAGGCAGCTGCAATCTTTGCAATGATTTGTTAGCACTGTCTTTAACTCTTTGCACCATCTACTGCCAGCACAAGGAGACCCTGATCCTCTGGAACTTCTGGGTGCTACAGTAATAAAAACAAAAATAAGATGCACAGAAGGAAGAGGAACTCAAATCCTGGCAAGGTAACTGGAGGAAAATTGAGTGTTTAGCTATAAGATATCTCTGTAGTTAATGCTCAATATGCAAGTCTTAGAGTTTTCAAACCATTTATTTTCTGCAAAACGTCCCAGGTCATGTTATTCATTTTAACTACATTAACTATGGATATCAAGCTGGATTTGTTATGATACAGTACTGGTAGACTTAGTGCTACTCTTGGCAATTTGAATTACATTTAGGCTACACTTATTCCATTTGATATTTACAACAGAAAAATGTAAGTGAACTTAGGTTCACTGGCAAACATGGTTTCATGTCTAGATGCTAAGCAACACTTGAAATATTGCTTTTGTGCAATATCTTAGCACAAAAACAGTATTACAGCTTTAAAAAGAGAGTCTGATTTTTGTGGTAGCAAGCCAGCTTTTAGTATTTTGGGGGCCAGATGGTGGGGGAGAGGGAAATTTTCTCCATCAGCATAACTTAGTATGATTTTGGAGCACTAACATGCTCCTAGTATTCACATGCATGATGAGTAGGATACTATGATAAATATACATCATGACAGTTAACGTTGGGCTGTGTTAAGCACACCCTGACTAATATGTATAATCTCCTATCAATTCATTTAAACTCTATCACATCTCCCTTTCAAATTAGTGACACTATGATAATCATACATTGAAATCCACTTTAAATGAGTAAAGTAAATCAATTGGTGTCTAAAGAGTTTTTGCTGGAGTTATCAGTTGCTACATCCTTGATCAAGTCAGAACATAGACATATCAACTCCCAGGAAGACATCATATATTATGCATTTTAATTGTGCCTTTCATTTTTCCTTGTTACAGAAGCTAAGAAGAAACCCAAGCAATGCTGGATTAAGTCATCAAAAACAACATATATACTTGTCCTTTACTTTTTATCAAGAAGTAACAATTCTCAATTTTTTGTCTGAATTAATTCAGATTAATTTTACAACGTATTGCAGAAAACAGCATTTGTTTTCTAAACTGCACATGTAGGAAGAATTTCATGATTTGGTCACTTCTGATCCATTTTGGCAGCTGTTCTGAAGTTAATGACTAAAGACAACCTAGGAGGTCAGCAACCTACAGTCCATGGACCAGATCTGACATGGGGCAGCTCACGGCATTGACAGCCTGTTCCAGCCACAGCAGCAGAGGAGGCATTGCTAGGGTCCTACTGCCTGCTGAATTCAGTTTGTTTTCCGTGCTGCAGCAGAGGTGGCATTCCGTGGATCCTAGAAGCCTGCCTTTATCTATTCCCTTCTCACCATCTGCCAATTGTCTGGGGGTTCCTTTAAAGTCTCCTCTTCCAGCCACTGAAAGTGTTGACCTAGCATGGTAAACTGAAGGAGACTAAAGAATCAGGACACAGAACAACCAGTATTCTGTGCCCAAAATACTCCCATATAATGGCAGACCTAAAAAATTACTGGTTTAAAACTTTCATCTTTAAAAATAAATCCTAGGGAGTTGTATTTGCTTTCTGGTGTTTGGAATCTTTACAGTTCATATTTTCAAGTTTCCTGCCACAGTTGTGGGACAATGAAAAGACAATAGAGATTCCCCAGAAATAACCTATTCCAGTAAGTGGGACTTCAGAGAAAAAACACTAATTTCTGGCACTCATGAAAAAAAAAATCACAAGCACTGGAAATAAATGCAAAATAACTTTAAAAACTAACTAGAACATTTTATTTAAAAGGGAGCAATTGGAAGATTTCCTGATCTTATTTCATCTGGTGATTAAAAGGAAGTGTAACTAAATTTCTAGATGAGCATAAATTGATTACCCTTACATTTACAGTTCAAACCTGTTGATTCGATTTGGTGTTAATCCTTTCCCGTTCTCCCTGCTACAGGATGTAGGACTATTTTCCCTACCTATGTTAACTGTTGTTTCCCTTAGTTGCATCCTACTAGGTTGCCCTGTTTCAAATTGCCTCAGTATTTGCATCTGTTCTGTGATGGCTGCAACACCTTCCAAAATCTTCAACAAGTTGTCAGCTCTCCCAACCTCCTGATTATTAGAGATAAATAAGGCTAGACTCAACATGTATCCTTGAAATACCCTATTAGAAGTACATCCCAAGATTAAACACTTTTTGTTACTTTGCCATCTACTATTTCAACCAGTGTTCAATCTATTAGAGTGCTCATACCCCAACCAATTTGCACTGAATTCAGAACCTAAGATACCAGGTTTTGTATCTTGAAGTTAAGATGCAGTAGATGATGTATGTATGCTAGATGGACAGACTTTTAAATTAGGAAGGACCCTGCCGTCTGCAAAAAAATTTCTCCACCCCATCAGACTGAAAATGCTCATCTTACTGATCAGTCTATGAAACTGAATTGTGAACTGGGCAGCTAACTCCTTTACAATACTTTGAAGCAGTGGTAAGGAACATCTTCTAAACAAAAATATATATTATTTTTAAAGTTTTCAAAGATGAACTGAGTATTTTGCACATGAAGATGCAACTAGGATAAAATCTTGATTCCACTGAAGTAATTTATGTTGGTATCCAATTAGCAATGCATTATATTATCAGTCTTATTTCTTAACTGAAAACGTTTAATTGATTTTGAATAGCATGAAATTGGGAAAAAAAATTCCACCAGTGCCAAATTTCAGTCTATTTCCATCAAAATATCAAAAAATAAAAAACGTATTGCAGACTCGAGCTATTTTGTGCTTGTGGTATGATTACCCTCTATTTACAAGTTCTCTTTTTTTGGGGTGTTACTTTTAATGAATCACCAAAGAAAATAGGACAGTCCTAAATTATATAGGAACTACTTTAAAAAGTTCATCCAGCCAAACTGCTATCTTCTAAAGGGTGAGGTATGAAAGGTTTTGGGGGTTTTTATATATATAAAACTTCTTGATTTGTCAAAAACTTAGCAGACAACTAAGACACTGTATGTGAAAGGCTAAGCTCCCTTACCTGCAATTTAATCCTCTAAGTAGGTACCTGCTGCTCTATGTGTGGTATATTGAAGAATTTCTTGCCTTTGAACCACTCTTCAGAGAGATTTCCTGTGAGTTTATTTTACTTGCAAATGCTCTATGATGGCATGTTTGAGGGGACATACATTCATGTTTGGAGCCCAGGTATAAAGCCACAGCTGAATTAAAAAAAACCACCTATAAAATAAAGCAATATTCAGGAAAAAATAAAACAACAACATTCAGGAAAAGAAATTTCTTAAAAAAAATAAAATAAAAAAAATCAATGGACCAAGAAAAAAAAATGCTCTTCAATGTTCTTTCCCTCCCATCTAGACCCAATGATATAGATAAAAATAAGTAGAAAAATCATCAGAATTGACTCATCTCCTAGACCAGCAGAGTGTAGATTCTGACATAGCAGTGGGCATCCCCTTAGAGACAAAGTTGTACAATTTCTGTCCTCATGGGTACCTACTTTCCTTCATTCTAGTACTGGTGAGAAGTAACAAGCAGTAGCAGTCATCTTCAAAACAAAGATCAAGAGAAAATTTCTGGTATGTACTTATGGGAAGAGTTGAAAAGCAAGATGGAGGGATTATCTGAACAATCCCAACAGATAAAGCCAATATACTTATCTTGTAATACACAGACAAAGCTAAAGTTTGGTAAATTCAGGAACTGTTTAATACAGTGTGCCCCATACCTGAAAAGAGAAAACTACTGAGTAACAAAATGAATGAAAATGTTGAAAGCTGCATATTTACATGCCTTTCATTCGCTTAGGAATGTTCCTATAGAACAAGGACTACATTCAAATTCCACAAAGGTTTTGTTCTTTATAAACAACATTACCCTGACTAGATCCAATTTGCCCAACTGCTTCTGAAGCTAAAGAGAGCTTCAGACAGAAAGGAAGCTAAAAGAGTGGACCACTATGCAAGAGTGAAATTTCAGATTCCAAAGCTGCTTCAAGCACTGCAGGTTTCCCTCACTTAATGCTGTATATGTGTTCCTGGAAAACGGCACATAACTCAAATTTGCATAAAGGGAACCCACTTTACAATGCAACTACTAGGGATACGTTTCAAGACCTCGACTGTACTGACCTGCAGACCCATTTCTACCACTTTTACAAGACAATCTGGTTACTCACCAATAGCAGACAGTACACACAAGCACAGGGTACTATCATAATAGGGATGGCAACTACAGAAACACGTGTTGCAGACAATGAGCAAGGAGCACAGATCCACACAGGAGACTATATTTTGGTGTGTCACTCCTACAATGCATCGCACAGAGCAGCTGACTGCAGGTTTCCACCACACCAATTGCATAAGAGTGAATTTACCTCATATATAACGAATTTTTGGTATAAAAAGGGTCATCGCATAAGAGCAAATTCACTCTTACAGAACCTGCATAAAGCAAGGGAAACCTGTTCTTTATCCAGAAAAAACTGCAAATGTGATACCTGGAGGAAGGTAGCCTTATTCATTTATTACATCAAAAGAGATCACCCTTTCTGCAAATCACTTCAACCAAGTAAAACATCAAGACAGTGACATTATCAAAAGTTCAAAGTTTTGATAACAACTTGAAAAACCAGACTGAAGATCTGTTGACCTGTGATCTGGATAACTGAGAGAAATAATTCCAGATGAAGAAGAATGAGTCAAAAGATCGCCACCAGAAGGAATACCTATTAGACAAAAAATGCAAGGGTTTTCATTCCATGTTTGAAAGAGTTGAAGGGAAAAAGCAGATTGCTCAGTTTGACTGTGTATTTAATGGCTTCTTGCTAGTACTTTCCAAATAATTTAGTCCCCCTGAGAAGCATATGTATCCAGTTTTCCAGGTTAAAGGTACATGTTTGCACCTGGGACTGTAAATTTAGGACAGAGAAAGGAGTTTGGAACAGAGCATGCACACAAAAAAAGATCAATTTTAGTTAAGCAGATAAAGAGCATTACTTGTCAACTGGGCCATAAAATTAAAGACGTTTTCTTTTGAGAATTCACAGTTGTCCAAAGTAGGAACAAGTTATCAGTGCAAGGGAAAAGGTCCTAATGGAATCCAACTCAATTCACTCCAATACTATTATTTGTAGCCTACCTTTTCAAAAAACGATTCTGAATAATACAGCTGTAAAAATAAAACAGTAATATATATCAACTAAAAAAGGGGGAAGGACTGTATTCAAAACTTTCCTAAATCAGAAATCATAACTCTTCAGGTTCTTATAGCAGGCTTGTCTTCATAGTACCTTTGAGTAACTGACATCAACTTGGGTCTCTTGGTCTGGATGTTTCTCTCAGAATATAACTCCTGAAGCTGGAGGCATGAAAACTCTGGGAAAAGCTATTTATCCTGTCCCTGGGAGGAAAGAAGCTGAAACACTGGCCTAGCGAGCTAGATCAGTGGTCAGCAGCCTTTGGCCAGCATGGTTGTTGGTGACCTGGCCATGGGTGCAGGCCAGAAAGAAGTCTTCAGTGGCCCACCCTGCAGTGGCCACCTGCCTATACTTGCTTTGCTCCCTCACTGAAGATTGCTGTCCCCTCTGCAGCAAGGAAAGCACAAACACTGAGGAGACAGCAGAATGGAGCAATCAATCCCTCCCCTGCAGAGAGAATGGGCATCACAGCACACATCTATGCCACTGATGCCCTTTTGATCTCAATACTGAGTCCATTGCAACCACTGTTACAAGTGTAAGTAAGCAATCCCTTGCCTTCCATAAATCCTTCAAAAGCACTTTATAAATAAAAATTGCTGGGGGGGGGGGGGGGGGGGAAACAGGGTGGGGGGGGGGGGGGGGGGGGAAAGAAACATTTAAAAATTCCTGCTTAGAAACAAAGAAGCTTTCAAACTTCTGGAGGCAGAAGAGAAAGTCCAAATTTGAGCCAAATATATCAGATACGGCAGCAGTGGAAACAGGCCAAAAAAGGAAACATCCAAAGCATGGGCCAAAGGCAGGAAACTCTTCAGTGTGGTACTGACAGAGCACTGGGTGCCTGCTGGGGAAAGATATTCATTTGAATAATACTGAAAAAATTATCTGAATATAAAATTAATTTGCAACTAGGCAGTAACTCATTAAACTCATTCTGCCCTGGCTTATAAGTGGCAGCTTTATACTAGAGAGATATGGTAATCAGTCAAAAACTAACATGAGGCTTCAATAAGCTGCAGGCAAGTGAAGCTAATTGTTTTATTTGTTTATTTTTATGAACATTTTTATAACTTAAATGATAAATGTCAAAGCACAAAATGTGTGCCATAACTGAAAGTAACTTAAGAATAAAAAAAAAAAAACACGCTTAAAACAAAACAAAAGAGTTAAATGGCTCAAAATTTATCTTAAGAACTCAGTATGCATGTATACACTTCAATTAACGAAGCATTCACAAACCTTTCTATCCAGGAAACAAACTGGGACTGCTGGTTCATTCATTTGCATACTAATGTCTGGTATGGTTTAAGCTGACAGCTGTGTTGTGTCTGTGCTAGATCAGAGAGCCAAAAAAACAACTAGAAGGTTTGTCTACCTCTGAAAACGACTTCTTAAAAACTGATGAGGACTGGCAGCTTGCTATTTGGGAGAATAATAAAATGCCCAAGTGACAGTCAGATAGGGTATGTTTGAGAAAGCATTTTTTGAACATTGTTCAATTAAGCATTTGTTTTTTGTTTAGGAGGGCATGGAGTAAAACACTTTCTGCTACTTTTAAGCCCTGGAAATAAAATATTTGAATATTAGTTATATCATTCCCTACTAAGGAACATCAAGAACTTTCCTTACTTGTGGGCTCTTGAGTTTAAGTGGCAAATTAGAAACTTGCTTTTTTTCCTGGATCTACTAAAGGAAGGTTATGATAAACAGAGCAGTCCTGTGAAGCACAGCACATAGTGTTTGATTTCATCTAAAGTATTTTTACATTTTAACTTAGAGACCTGTGCTAGCAAACATGCTCCAGTAGATGGGAAGTTCAAGCTTAGGAAGCACTGTGTTCTAAACAATGAATAAAATACAACTTCAACACACCAACAAAGCCTCCAACAGCCATGAGTTCAAATGAAACAAAGTGCAACTCATGCAATATTTTTTCTGTTTTTAAATTAAATTAGACTCAAAACTTAGCAGAACCTCCTCATGGTGGTGTAATGTAGAGGTGCTCACTTTTCATGGTATGGAGCAGAAAGCAATGCAGCAAAGGCAGCCCTTGCAGTCTATCTGCTTAAAATTCACACCCTTTCACCTTGTGTGTGTGTGTGGCAGAAGTAAGTGGAACAGAAAATCACTTCCACCTGGACCATTGCTTCTCCTTATCTGTTAAAGGCACATATATAACTCCCATCAGAGGCTTCATTTTGACACTGCCATCTTCTAGTTTGTCATACTGTTCCAACATCTGGTTTCCCCCTGCAGGACCAACTGGTAATATCAATCTTCCGCCAGGTTTTAATTGGTCTATAAGCTAGAACATAACAAATAGAAGTAATCAGAGTACATATGGATAAGTGCAATATAACTCAGTGCAGAAGGTGAAATAACTGCCGTATTTTTTATCATAGAAGCAAGGTATTTTTGCACAAAGTACAAGTCAAACTGCATCGTCGGTTGACGATGCGTTAACAAGAGCTATTTTACCTTGTACGCAGTATACAGTAGCTTGAATAAGGACAATAATTTTACTGAAAAAACAGTAGTACAACCTTAAGGTATAACTACTTGTATTTTCGAAACATTTAAAGTAACCATCTGAAATTTAAGGGAAAAACAATCATCTCAGATACAGATAAAATTCTTAGGAGTTATGCTTCTGCAGCACAAGTTTTTCCATAAGAAGAGAATTTATCCAGTCATGGAACAAGTCTTGTTTACAATGAAATGCAGAAAATTCTATTTGCTAAATTGTTCATTTTAACAGCTCATTATTTGCTGTTGATTCCATATACTAAGTCTAACAAGGGCTTCAATGATCATGACAAGATATGTGAATTGCAGCATTATCCCAGAGATCAAAATGTTTAATTAAATTATAAACTACAGAAAGATATCTTAATTACCCAACCGGTTTTGCTGTATAATATATAATCCATTTCCTATTATGTGAACAGGCTGAGTTCATTTACAAGATATCTGAGTAAAAATGCAATTTATTTGATGGAGCGTTAGAATAGGAACTACTTGAAAAAAGAAACTTTTTGCCATGGTACTTAACCTCATTTTTATAACTAGATTGTGCTTCTATGAAGTGTCAATTTTCCTGATGCTGTTATAAAATAAAGGAGTCTCTTACAAAGTTAAACAAATACGCATTTGACAAAAGCATTTAACCATGCATTTTCACTATAACATTTTTTTTACCTCAGAAGATAACAAAACTTAAAATTTACATCTGCCAACAATTCCTGGAAACGTTTTGTTACAAAGGCATCAACCAACATCTAGCAATGGATAACCTCTCCACGCTACTGCAAATTCTTAGTTCCAAAGCATCATTTAATGGAGTTTCCAAAGATCTTCAACAACAGTTCAAGACTTGTGATACTTACCATACCAAGAACTTTCCTTAAATACAAAATAATAATAATAATGTTGGATGCGTCTACAAGAGACGCTAACAGCACAGTAGCCTAATAATACTGTATGGTAGCACATCACAGCACAAACAATGCTAATACATTACTGTGCAGTATTATTAGGCTATTGCACAGTAGCGTCACTTAAAAGGCATTTGCTGGTGCTACTGCACAGTAACTACGGTTATTGCGCGTTTATTTAGCACCTGATTGTACAAGTACTAAATAAATGTGCAGTAACAACTGCATATTAATGAATGTGTGGACACTTCGACAATAGCACAATATTTAACTCCATCACTTCTCCTCCTTTCCCCAAAGTAGAAAAAGAGAAAACTGTCATTATTTACACTCATATGCAAGTATTCATCATTACCAGCAAAAAATGGGATGACACTTTTCTGAAGGCCATAAACACTGGCTCTTTATCAACCTTGAGTGACATAACCCACTTCCTTTCCTTGCAAGGGCTGAGCATATTTCCTCTACATTCCACACAATCCCTGAAAACCCAAGATGCAAAAAATTAGGCACCTATTTAAACTTTACAACCTATTACTTGATGAAAAGGAGTTTCATTCATTTACTGCACTAAAAGTTCTAGTTAATAATGAAGATCCAGTAAGTACACCATTTTTAAATATACTTACTTAGAAACATGTTTTAACACTGCATGTGTGTGTTTGTGTGCATGCACTCATGACCCCAACTGGATAGCTCTACCAGTATTTCAATGAAAAAAAATACAACATTTTCATAGCAGAGAAATTAATGATTCACATAAAAACAAGGCGCTTACTGCTTGGGGCACAACTGGTGCTGCAGCTCCTACATGAATAGCATCATAGGGAGCTTCTTCTGTGTGTCCCATTCTTCCATCTCCCACTGCAAGAAAGCAATATTTTTATCTTTTCCATATGTGTAGAGGGGAGAACAGAGCTTAAAATATTCAGACCATTCACAGCTGCATATAAATGTTATGCTCAAATTTAATCTGAGGCCCTGAGCAAAACTGCGTGATATTTAAAATGAGTTGTCACATTTAGCTGCATTATGTGAAGTAATTCAACCAAAGAATTTGCATCTACATAGTATGTGAAGTGCTGCTGGAGCAATAACAACCAGAGGTGTCCATTTATATTGAAAGTAATTCATTTGTAAAAGTTAACAGACTAACAAGAGAGTGTAAGTGGCATTCAGACTGCAGATATAGATGCCACAGAGAAAATACTCATTTAAAACATATTTTGTACTACTTAAGAGTAAAGTAACTTTAATCACTTCTATCTTCTGATCAGAGATGATAACACAGTCATTAAATATGACAGCCACATTTTAAGTATTGGGATTTTAAAGTATTATTGTGCTGCTTAAGCAAACGTCTTAACATTGCTTTCAAAGAAATTTAAAAGCACCTGGATTTTGGGGTTGGTTATTTTTTCTTTAAAAAACAAAAACCAAAAACTATCTGTACTTAATATGAGTAGACAGAAAGGTTAAAGGGTCCTGGCCTGATTCCATAAATTCAACACCCAGTGGAAACCAGGAGTTCAAAACTGGCCTCACTCTGGACTTGGACAACTGTTGTAGAAGCAGTGTGCTCAATTCCCACAGGAAAAAGATAAAAGCAAATCTCATGTCTCTTCAGTATCCATTTCTACCAACTAATCTGGAGTTTAAGCAACATGCAACCTGTGAAAGGTTTTTGAAAAAGAGGTCTTCTAGCATACAAATTTTACACAAAATTTTTTTTGTCTGTCTTTTTCAATAGACTTGAACTGCTGATATTGTGCTATTGTAGTCTATCCACAAAGCAGTAAGTATATTTCCCTGTGAGCAGGAAAGTTGTGGTTTTGCTTTGTTTCAGTGTTCACTAATACTCCTTCACTTGCAGTCTCCTCTGGACACCTAACTCTCGGTTCTCAGCCAGATCTTTGAGGTTTTGAGAGACTTCAAAAACCCCTTGAGAAAGTTCATGAATGTTGTGTGGAAAACCTACAAGCCCCTTCAGGGTTGGTATTTCTTATACTTGGAGGTTAAAAAATATTCTGCTCCTGTTCCTAGCTCAGTAAGAAAGTTCTGCTGGAGCTTTTGTAAAGCAGTTGACATAACTGAAGCAGTAGAAGATGTGTCATCAGCAACCATGGAAAGCCACAGACCAACAATCAAATATTTGAATTCACACACCAACTTCTATCTGAATAGCCTATCAGTTTACATCAATTCCAAGATCCCAAAACTTTACTAAACAAGCTCTGACCAGTCTAATTCCCTTAATCCACCTAGTTCAAAGACACTTTTTCCTCCATGTCCCTCGCTATTAAGGGCTGCTGTAATATCTACAAGAAAAGGGTGGGCAAAATAGCATGAGAAAATCCCAAGTATTTGGTCCTAGCCATCAGACAATAACTTGCTTTCTGCTGTCATTTCTGTCATCGGCCATTTGTCTTCCTATGGCATAATCCATGTCTGCCATTCAACTGTGGTCATTCTGGATCTTATTTTGCGCCCCCGTCCACACCCATGATGGATCCTGGGCTGCACAATAGCTTTTGTATAACTGGCAGCACACTGGTAGACTGATCTTCCTATAGTACAGTCAGTTGAGGTGAAGAAATAAAGTGTTGGATGCAGGTCAAAACAGCAAATAGCTGAGCTCTCATGTCTTTACACCATTATTCATACAATTCAGTGGCAACTTAACACCAATGCAGTGGAGCATAAAAAACAGAACAGACAAGCTCCCTATGAAGAAAATGGTGGATGGTATTGTAGCAAGGTGAGAAACCATTTTTACTAGTGTGGCCATTGCAAGTGTTATCAATGACTGACACTTCACCAGTGGAGAGCAACAGCAGAAAACCATGTCATGACTAAACCTGATCAAAGAAAGTCTTTGTTATGGTTCACCACCAGGAGTATTTTTGTACAGAAACAAGATGTTTTAAATGTGCTGACATAAGACAGGCACATTCTTGGTGTATCATTTCTCTAATTTCAAAGAGATCTGGAACAGCTTCACTGACAGAAAAAGAACCAAAAATGACTTGAGAAGAATTTAGCTATAAAGTTCCAAAAGAACAGAGAAAAGTAAATATAAAGACAAATAGTGTGTTCATAACTTTCTTACTAAAACACCTAGTGACCCAGCCCAAAACCATTTTTAAAGAATTCACCCGAAGACTGGTTATCAACAAGACAGAGCTTTCACTCCAAATTTCTCTCTCTCAAGACATCAATATTCATGATGATTAAGTGCTGATTTGTAACCAAAGTAAGTTTTAAAACAATCACTTTTCTCTTTAGCATTCTTTCTTCTCATTGTCTGATTTTATTTTCTTGATATAAATTAATAATATTAAGTCCTGAGAGCGAGAGATGCTATCAATACATTTTAAAAACTCTGGACAGACCAATTCAATGAGTACACACTGTTTTTCTAGTACATTTTTCATTTGAGAAGCTTACTGGCAAAATGTCACCACTGTTACTGCACAAGCATGAAATTTTTTTGCTATATTGCTCCAGTTTAAGTTGGAAGCTCATTCATGTATACTAAAAGAAGCTGGAAGTACAGTTTTTAAAAAAAATAAAAACATTAAGCCTGCATCAAATTCTCATTCTTCAGATCTGCTGCATTTTATTACACATATTAAACCAAATGTATATTTAGCATAGATTCTGAATGTTTTCTTAAAATTCTAGAAAAATCAAACTATTACCCAACATGGAAGGGGGATGCTTATAAAAGGCCTGAAGGGAAGCTAAGCAATTAAGCTGCAACCACTTAGTGAAAATAAGCAACACCAAATATATTGAAATCTGATGCTCACCAATCAGTTTCACTCTTCCTGAAGACAGCAATGTAGGATCATCCTTTTTGACATTATTTATTGAGTCATCTACTAGTTCTTTAATATGATCAATTCCTACAACTCGCCCTTTGGGACCAACCTAGAAAAAAATAAACATAGTTGAACAGTTTGTGCCACAGAACCACCATCTCCAGTTCCTGAACCTTTTTGATTCTAATACATTTGGAAGATAAATCCAAAATATAATTCCTCGATGCAATTAAAGAAACTGCTTAGAACAACAAATTGTCTTCCAGAATTTATAGTTAAGCGTGCAAGTACAATTTTTGTTACTTATTAAGTTCTTTACTTAAAAAGTAAATTGACAACACATCTTTAAGAAGTGGTTCTGCTGAAGTCTGATTTTTACAGCATTAAAATGATCTTCCCCTTCAGTTTTAAACAGTTATTGTCTTATTTTATTATATTTAGCACTTTTCTTGTTAAAAGATGATTAACATTTTCTAGATAACTTTATAATAAAAGAAATAGTTATAAAGGATTGGTCAAATGTGATTTTGCAGTTTCTGCTCCTTACCTCTACATATACACCAATCTAGCATACTAATTGAGTGCCTCTTAAGCATAAGAGGCATTGCTTGTCCATATGTTTGTGTGATTAACATGAGAGAACCAAGTTGAAATAGCAGGTTTTATATTTTGCTGCAAGGTGCCAGGGTTCATATAACATACTAATCTTTCAGAAAGAAGCTCGATAGTCAGAGAACAGAAAGCAAGATGTTCATCTCTTGTTCTATTGTTCCATAGCAGCTTATGATCAGACACTGGCCTTTGACACTAACATTTTAGGTTTATCTGCAGGGAACTGACTGGCATAGCAACAGTAGAATCATAATTCTGTTACCGTAAAAATTAACTTCCCCTTCAAACGGTTGCTTATTCTAGTATCCGTATTTCCAAAAAAGGACTTTATTTTCAAGTCACATGCTCCAGAATAGAGGGGTCATGTACAAAACACTAAGTGAACAGTATGGTTATAGATATGCTTGTTGATTTCCCAAGGCAGCTGAGGTAGAGTATTAGCACCTATTACTTTAAAAACATATAAGCACGTTAGTGTAGGCAAGGCATATTGCCATTAGCATGTGTTAAACTGAATGCCAGACTTAGTTTAGTATGTTAACGGCAGTAGAACATCTAGCGCAGACATTTTAACATGTACAAAGATTACAAAATAAAATTGTAGGCTAGGCAATGCCACAACAAAACAGTGACTTATAACTTGGAGGCTCTGAAAAAGATTGAAACTTTATGCTTGTCTTTGAATAGAGATTCAAGGATTCAGTGCAAAAGGCAGGATGAAAGAGTGACCTGCTCTTGGCAACTCATTTGGTCAATAATTGTATCCTTTTACCAGCAGCTTTTAGGGGTGTGCAAAACAGGCCATATTTGATTCAGATTTGGCCCTAATCAGGGACAGTGATTCGATTCATTGATTTGGATCTCTGTCCTCAATTCGATCTGGCTGAATCCAAATTTGAAGATTCGATGCCAATTTGGAGAATCAGAGATTCGGCCATAGACACAGCTTTAAATGTTTTTTCTACATACCTCAAGGTATCAGGCACAGCTCGTGAATGCTACGATGCTGGGGCAGATGGAGTATCCCACAGGAGCGCCGGGGAGAGGCGAAGGCCCTGCATGCTCAGCAGCGAACACGGAAGTGGACCAGAAGTACTTCTGGTCCACTTCCAGGTCTGCTGTCAAGTGTGCTGGGGAGCCCCCTGCGCTCCTGTGGGATGCTCCACCCACCCCACCATCGCAGCATTCACAAGCCACCTGGTACCTTGAGGTATGTAGAAAAAAACTATTCGAAGCTGTGTCTATATCCAAATCACTGAATCCTTCTGAATCGATTCAGAGAGTTCCGATTGGATTCAGAGAGATTAAAACGTCTCCTGTTTCGATTCAGATTCAAAGATTCAGCCACCAAATTGAATCAGGGACTGAAGCTTTGCATAGCGCTAGCAGCTTTGTATTTGTTCCAAGTTATATTTCTATAGTGTACATTTTAATTTTATAACCATTTAGATTTAGGGACAGCTTAGCAGAAATCAAGAGAAGAAACTGATTAATTTCTATATTCTAAAACTGAAATTAATAATATCCACCTTTCTAACTGATTTTTTTCTAGTGAAATGAGGCAGACCTAGCATTTGAGTGTGAGAACAAGGAACACATGAGACTGCAAGTTTTCACTATGACAACAACAGCTTACTATTTGTAGGAATGCTTGGCAACCAGCAGGATTGAAAGCCGGCAAAAATTCTGATGCAGTCATCCTCTTTGGCAGACTGTAACTTCATGGCATTTAAAGTTCAGCAAAGAGAGCACAGCATGAAATAGCCTCTTTTAAAATAACAGCACCTCCCAAGAACATCAGCAGTCTGTCAGAGCCCCTTATGCTATTCCAGAATCCCGCACACCTATTCCTTCCACTTCTACTTTATGAAACAAAGTGAGCCATCAAGAAAGCAAAAGAAGCATCTGATCCCAGAATAAAACCACACTCCACCCAGTGTAAAATTTCAGTATTCACAGGATTGTTAATGAATCACGTTCCAAAAAATACAAGAGGATGACTATTCTGCAGTTGCTATCTCCTATCCATACATCTTATCTAACTGTTTCATCTTAATTTGTCAGACAATACACACATTCTACTAGACATTAAGGGTTTCCCTAGAGAAACCAACAGATGACTATCACAGGGTTAAGTTTCCAAGACATCAAAATTCAATCTGGCAACACATCTGAGCTCCTGACGTATGTTTTGCTCTGAAGCTGCCTATTCTATTCTCCAAAGGATCAATGGGGTGTAGTTCACTGGGCACATGCAAAGGTTGCGGCCCCACGAGTGGAAACATGTGCTTTGCAGTGCCTCACAGGCTTTTGAGGTGCCACAAAACACACACGGCATACATGAAAAGATTTGCCATACCATATTGCAGTATGGAGTCAAAATTAGATACTGGGAAATCCTGGTATCTTAAACAAAAAACAAAAAAAAAAGAGTCCAAAAAACCCCAAAACAAACCATTGTGGTGTACACTGCTGGAAACGAGCCTGGCCAGCCAGAGCCACTCTCTAGCTGCTGGCCAGGCTCTGTGCGCCCAAATCGCCACCTCTGCAGCCCCGGAAGACCCCCAGGGCCCCAAGTAAGGCTGCTGGTTGCAGCCCCCCTCACCCCCTCGGGGGCAATTTGGTGTGCACCACAGCACGTGTGCAGGGGCATCCCCTGGGGACAAACACACATGCTGCTATCTGTACCCAGGGAAACATGTGGGCGCGCATGGGGACGCACCCATAGAAGCAACAGGGAGACTGACTGCACATGGGTAGTCTCTTTATCAAAGGCTTGTGTTGGCACATGGGGAGGGAAGGCAAAAGAAATATTTTGCCACACCCAGACTTCGGGTTCAGTCACAAACTACTTCAAGATCATTTCAGGCTGGACATAAGGAAGAACTTCTTTACTGTCCGAGCCCCCAAGGTCTGGAACAGCCTGCCACCGGAGGTGGTTCAAGCGCCTTCACTGAACACCTGCAAGATGAAACTGGATGCTTATCTTGCTGGGTCCTATGACCCCAGCTGACTTCCTGCCCTTTGGGCGGGGGGCTGGACTCGATGATCTTCCGAGGTCCCTTCCAGCCCTGATGTCTATGAAATCTATGAAATCACCATAAATAAGAATCCATTTCACAAATGAGAAAAGTGAATGCAGAGAAACATAGTAACTTGCCCAAATCTAAGAACAGGATAAATAGGACCTTGGCCTATTCCATAGTAAAAATGAATTTAAGTAAAAACCAAAAATCTAATAAATTAAACTTTTCACACAACGTTGAGCAAAATTTCACTAAGATTCAATAGAGGATTTGGCCAATAGGGGATTTATATGTCCAACCAAATTATTCAGAATTTTTATATATAAATATAACCTGGGTTAAGAAGATTTCCTTGTAGGAAGATTTAAGACTGCTTCTGCAGAATTCTTGAATCTGCTTCTGAATCATCTTGTACTGACCACTGTCAGAAAGCTACTGGACTTTCTGGACAAAAGATCTGACCTACTAAGGTTGTTCCTTCTTTTCACTGAAACTTGTAAATGCAAAAGCAAATATTACAAAGTTATACAACGTAGCCAATAGGCAGGAAGCTTAAAATGGCAGGGAGCCTTAAATCTTAAGACTCCCTCTCACCTGCATTTGTAATTCTGAATTTTAGACACTATTTTTCAGGAATAGAAAGAGAAACACGGGTCTGAAAAAATTGGGTAAGAATAAGCATGGTCTTATGGTTTACCGCTGAATCAAAACGTAGCTCAATACGTTTCTTTGCATTAGCAAGCCAATTTCTTATGCTTGTATTGTTCAAAATCCATCTTTTTTATCCATCAATTCCCCATCAATAAAATGGGAATAACATTTTTCTACCATGCAGGGATGTTGACTGAGAGAATCAATTCCTTAATGCTTTTGAGGAACAGAGATACTGTAGTAGGAGTCAATACTCAAGAGAGACTGACCTGACATGTACTTCAGCAGCTGGCACAACATGACACTGCATTTACATACTATTTATGGTGCAAGTTAAGAGGCTCTCTCTCACTTGTCTTGCTATTTTCTCAAACATACATGAGAAAAAATAATCAAAAAGTAAATCGGAAATAATTTTTAATATTAATGTAAGTTCTATCACGGTTCGTCAGATTTACTAAAAGATTTCTCAAAGTATTTACAGTTGCAGTTGCGTGGGGAGGAAAAAGCAAATTAAAAAGATACTGTTTCTCTCTGATAAGGCTACAACTAGCAGGTGAATATGATGATGAATATACCAGAATAACATCTTCCTGGCCTACATGTGCTTTCTTTTTCCTGATGTAGTAAATGACTATAGCATCATCTCCAAGGACTTCTACCAGACAGTTCTTCATGCATTAGCAGAAGGCTTTTTAGGACATCTTCCTGCACTGATTTCCAGATCACTCATGCAAAATTTGGGTTCCCATGTGTTCAACACTCATGCAACCTAGAGGTTGTGTCAATGAGCACTACAATCCAAGTTTGAGACATATGT